AAATATGAATGAGGTAAATCCAAATTCTACTCCAGAGCAAGGAGTTTGGGGGGATAGGTAGAAGAAAACCCTGGCATAAAGTTTTAAAAACTTGGATTAGGGTAGAGAAAATCTAGACAGCATCCTGAGGCGATAAAGGGCTCAGGAACAATGACAGTGTCCAATCTACAAGGCAGGGAGTAGAGGATCAGGAGAAGAGAGCTCTGGCAACGTGGTAGACCAGAAGTTCATAGAAACATCCCTCCCCCTAAAAAATAATTGTTGGATGAAACAGTAATTGTCTTTCTATAATACATGGCTTAGTGAGAGGCAAAATAGGGGTGAAAAAAATGATAAAGTGAGAATCTATAGAGATAAGAAAACGCTGGAGCCTGGCATTTTCCTGAGAGTATCTGTCAATGCCTGTTTTCCTAGAGCATGGGCTTCGATGAGCAGTGAGTGCATGTGGGACAGGAGACAAAACTTGGGGCCCTAGTGTCCTCATATAAGGTGTTGATTAACTTTAGATTCATTAAGATAAATATGTGACCTATGATTTCTAAAGTCTTTACTGACAGAATTGAAATAAAGTGTGTAACTTACAAACTAGTAGAGTGGGGATTAAAAAAAAGGAACGAGAAGAGGAAAAAAAATCAACACAAAAGAAGGCAAGAAAGAAAGGAAAAAATCAAACCTAATAAACAAAATGAACAAATAGAAAGCAAAACCTAAGCTGGTAAAAGTGAATCCAATTTAACAATAATCACAATCTACATAAGCGAGTTATACTCTCCAAGTAAAAATCAGAGATTGTTAGACTAGATTTTAAAAGTTCAACTTTAAACTGTTCATAAGGGGCCGGCCCCGTGGCTTAGCGGTTGAGTGCCCGCGCTCCGCTACTGGCGGCCCGGGTTCGGATCCCGGGTGCGCACCAACGCACCGCTTCTCCGGCCATGCTGAGGCCGCGTCCCACATACAGCAACTAGAAGGATGTGCAGCTATGACATGCAACTATCTGCTGGGGCTATGGGGGAAAAAATAAAATAAAAAAAAAAAAACTGTTCATAAGAGAAACTCCTAAAAACATAGGGACAGAGGAAGACTGCAACTAAAATGATGGGAAAAGACATACTAAGTTAATGCTCTGCAAAAGGAAGCAGTGTGGCTGTATGGAAGATGAGGAAAAACTAGACTTCAAGACAAAAAGCGTTACTACAGATGAAGAGGATGACTACATATTGATAAAGATGTTCAATTTACCAGGAAGATATAATTCTAAATTTGTTAATAGCATAACTTGGAAATATGTAAAAAAGAAATTGTTGGAACTATAAGAAAAATAAGCACATCCCAAATCACAGAGGGTCATTTTCACACATCTCTCTCAAAATTGATGAATAAATAGAGAATAAGATTTGAAGAACACAGTTAACAAGCTTGATCTAATGGACATACACAGTACACCAAAAGCACATTCTTTTCAACACATGGAACATTTATAAAAATGAATCACACAAGAGGCCGTAGAGAAAAAGCTCGACAAAATTCAAAGAATCTATATCATACAGCCCACATTCTCTAACAGTTAAATTAGAAATCAATAATGAAAAATAATTAATGGAACCCCATACTTTTGAAAATTAAAAAACACATTCTAAGTCATGAGTCAAAGGAAAAAATAGAAGTAGAAATTAGTAAATGTTTAGAACTGAATGATCATGAAAATCCTCATCAGAACTGGCAGGCTATAGATAGCTAAAGTAGGATTAGGGTGAGGACTATAGCCTTACTGCTCATGCTAGAGACCAAGAGAGTCTGCATTCAACTCAAGAAATTAGAAAAAGAAAAGCAAATACACCCAAAGAAAGAAGAAAGAGGGAAATAACAGATATAAGAGTAGAAATCAATGAAGAAAAACTACTACACAATAGAGAGTATCAGAAAAAAAAATTGTCTTTTTTTTGTTCAAAAGACGAATACAACTGATAAACTGCTGGCAAGAATGATGAACAAAAAAGAGAGAAAACACCAATAACCGATGTCAGGAATGAAAAAGAGGGCATCCTTATAGATGCTGCAGACAGAAAAATAAAAACAGGATATTATTGACCACTTCATGATGATTATTTTGAATATTTGGGCAAAACTCACAAACTCCTAGAAACATGTAATTTCCAAAGTTAATTCAAGAAGAAATACAAAACCTGAATAGCCCAATAACCAGGAAGGAAATTGAATAATTAGTGAAAATTTTTACCATAAAGAAAGCATCAGACTTAGATGGTTTTGTAAACAGTTCTGCAAAATAACCAGGAAATGAATCATTCTAATCTTACACAAACTATTCCAGAATGTAGAAAAAAACGAGCGCTTGCCATTTTATGAATCGGATATATCCTTGATGCTAAAAATGGAAAACCACAAAAAGAAAATGCAAATTTTAAAAAGTGTATAATTTACAGTTAGCAACAAATAGTGTAAGCCATGGAGAAAACTAACAAAAGGTATGCAAAACCGTATTACAAAATCTTAAAGACATTATAGAAGACTTAAATAAATAGCAACATATTAACACACCGTTTTTATGAATAAGAACACAGTATCCTAATATAAAGATGCTAGTTTTCCCCAAATTGATATGTAGATTAATGCAATTCCCATCAAAATCCAAAAATATTTTTTGTGGAATTTAAAAATGATTCCAAACTTTATCTGAAAGAACAAGCAGTCAAGAATAATAATACAATTCTGAAGGAGAAGGAAGAGAAGAAGCTGAGGTAACTCTCCCTGTCAGTTAACAAGGATTAGAAAGCAATAGTAATTAAAATACTGTGATATTGCCACAGGGATAGACAAATAGACTAATGAGACAGAATTCAAAAGCCCTAAAGCAAACCCACACAAATACAGAAACTTGATATATGGCAAAATTGGTACTGCAGATCAGTGGGAAAAGAGGATGTGCTAGTCAATAAATTTTGCTAGGACAAATGAAAAATAAAAATAGAAAACTACTCTATACAAAAATCAATTCCAGTTCTAAATGGATGAAGAACTTAAAAATGAAAAGCAAAACTTTAAAAGTTTTAGTACCTCAGAAAAAATTTTATGATATTGAGGTTGGGAAGGATTTCTTAAACAAGATACAAAAAGTGCAAATCATGAAGGAAAAGATTCATAATCTCAACTACATTAAAAGTAAAAACATCTACTCATCAAAACATGCAATAACAGAGTAAAAAAGATGAGCTACAAACTGGGAAATGATATTTACAAACTTACTACCAACAAAAGATTAGTATCTAAAATATATAAAGAACTCCTACAAATCAGTAAAAATGACAAACAAGTTAATTGAAAAATGGGCAAAAGGCATGAACAGGCCTTTCACAAAAGAGAAAACATAAATGACAAAAAAAAATACATATATGAAAACATGCTCAATCTCATTAATAATTTTAAAAATTCAAACCATAATGAGATAATATTTCACATCCACAAAATTAGCAAAAATTAGCTTGACAATACTGAGTGCTAGAGAGGATGTGAAGCAAGAGAAAGACTCATATACTGACAGTGGAAGTATAAATTGAAAAGGAAAACATTTTGGAATTGCATGATAAAATTAAACACACACATACTCTATAGCCTAGCAATTCCACTCCTACATTTACACCCTAGAGAATGCTGAGAGCGGCATATTGATAACAGAAAACAGGAAACAACCTAAATGCCCATTATCAGAAAAATGGTTAAATAAATACATGATAATGTACAGCGATAAAAATGAAAATACTACAGCAATACACAATAAGGTAAATAAATCTTACATATGATTGAACGGAAAAAGCAAGTCACAGAAATATATCTGGAGTATATGGTTCAAAAGCAGACAGTATTAAACAATAAATCATATATATATATATATATATATATATATATATATATATATATATGGTAAAACTATAAAGAAAAGCAAAGAGTGATTAACATACAAGCAGAACAGGATAGTGGGTACCTCTGAAGGGAGGAAAGGGTCTACAAGATGGGGCTCATAAAATGGGCTTCAAAGGTACTGGTAATATCTCTCTTGCATTGAATTATGGACCTGTGTGTACTTTTTATATTGTCACTCCTTATAACATACATTTATGTTCTCTACAATCTTAAGTGGGTGTGGTATATTTCACAATAAAACGATAAGTAAGTTAATAAGGCCAGAGCCTAAACAACTGCAAATTGGAATCCACAAAATGGGTCCAGTAGGTTCTCAAGGATGAATAAGAGGCAGTGAAGATTCCCTGAGGCTCTGATCTGTGGCTGAAATTAGAGAAGAGCCTCACTCTGGAATGAGAAGAAAGCTTTCAAGTGGGGTACAGACTCCTGCTGGCACCCTTGGAGGTGGCTGGGGAATTTCATGGGAAGTAAATGAATGATTTGAGAAGAAAAACTTGAGCAAAGGAGTATTGACTTTCTTTTGTATCCAGGAAGGTACATAATTTGCACTCTTGCAGATACAAAAAAGATACTGTCTTTTTATAAATAAAGAGGACATTTATATCAGTTACTTAAGCAAATGAAAGGTTATTTTCCTTCATGTGGCAGGAAGTCCAGAAGTAGACAGCCTGTTCAGTGGGCTGGCAATATTTTCTAAATCCGGGCTCCTTCTGTCTTTCCACTCTGCCATTTTCAGTGTGTGGGCTTTTTGCCCCATGCAGCTCTAAACTTCTCATCTACTTTTACTGCAGCCCTAGGACATTTTCCTGACTCTCTTGTCAGCAAAGAAAAGGCTTTCCTAGAACTCTCCCACAGCCTGCTCCTCGTATCCTAGTAGTCAGAGTGGTGTCACATGGCCATTTCTTGCTGCAAGAGAGGCTGGGAAAGTAATTACTTTGCCATTCTAGCCTGTACAGTAAGAGCAGGCAAGAACAAGCAGGAAGGAGTGACAATGGTTTCTGAGCAGCTGTTCAGCAATGTCTGTCAAAATACTTCACTAAGAATTCTTCCTGTTTTCTCCCCAGGAGCCAGTCTCCTTGATGACCTATATAAATATTTCTTCTTCCATCACTCCCATGGAGACACCATGACTGTCATGGATCCAAAGCAGATGAATGTTGCTGCTGCTGTTTGGGCCGTTGTCTCTTATGTCATTGCAGACATGGAAGAAATGCTGCCCAGGTCTTAACAAGAACAAGAAAGAAGGCACTTTTGTCATTTCTGGGCAGGAATCCTGAGTCTGCAGCTTCAGGAAGCCCCTCTTCACCTAACAGTTTTGCCTGATCCATTTTCAAAGCACAACACTAATCCATACTTTCTGTTATCTTTCTTGATACTTTCCAAATTCTCTGTTTCTAGGGTAGGGAATGATCTCCACCCCCACATAGGATCAACGTATGGTAGGGATCACAGTGGGGACATTTCTTTATACCACCTGTAAAAAATATTATTTCTATTTGGAAAGTAAACACTGCATAAATCTTTGGAACACCTCTGATTTTTATGTGTGTATGGATAACATTAAATCAAATACAGTGACACCAATTTTTTTGTTGTTTTATGTTGTTTATTGAAGGAGTAGAGGAATACACAATTGTAGGGTGGTTTTCATTGAATATATAGAGGCTTTTGGCTTTCTAACTTTTACATTTTTACATTACTAGAAATTTTTAAATGAGATATAGTTTTTTTTAACGGAGAAAAATGTCAGCATTTGGGGAAAAAAATAAGTATGTATAATCCAGTTGCGTTATTACAGATGAGTACTAGGGTCTAACACAAGATAAATGATACTATTTTACATTTATGTTTTATCTATTTCACACAATATTTCTATGAAGTTGGGGCTTATTCACATTTTGCTGATAACAGGATTGATGCTCAAAGAGGCTAAATAATATTCATAGGGTTCTATAGAGCAAAAACATTGATCCTCATCCATTCTGGGAGCAATGGCTACTATTCTTCTACACATAATGTCCAGTATTCAATAAAAAAAATTACAAGACACACCAAAAAAATGCAAGAAAAAATGAACTCATTGTCAAGAGTTAAGAAATTAAGAGAATCAGACTAAGAGAGAACCCAGATGTTGGAACTATCAGAGAAGGACTTGAACGTAATTATGATTAATATGTTAAAGATCTAGTGGGAAAGGTGGACTACATACATGAACAGAAGGAGAATTTCAACAGAGAGATGAAAACTATAAAGCAGAGTCTAATGAAAATGCTAAAATAAAAAATACAACATCAGAGATAAAGAATTTCTTTGTTGGGCTCATCAGCAGACTGGACAAGGCTGAGGAAAGAATCAATGAACTTGAAAATAGGTTAATAAAAATTATCCAAACTAAAACACTTAGGGAAGAGTAAAGGAAAACAAAGACACACTAGAATGGATCATCCAGGAGTTGTGATCTAATATATATATGGTCTAATACACATGCAATTGGATATCAAGTGGTCTAATATACATGTGATTGATTCCCAGAAGACGACAAAGTGTCAGTTTTATAATTGGTAATAATTAAAAGGATTGAAAGACACAGTAAGGTCCTTCCTTTCTGGCAAGGCAGCAGACTGGTACTCTGACTGACCCTTACACTGACAACTAAAAGTACTGGATAACATCTGAGAAACACCATTTAAATATATGAAACTGGTTAAAAGGTAAAGAATATTAGACAAAAAACTTAAATGAAGGCATAAACCAAGAGAGATACACAGAACATTAAACCAGCTTTCTCTTTGAGAAGATTTGCAGAATGTGTTGAACTTAAATTCCATTTTCACAGCCTTTCAGGCCTCAGGGGACTGTAGACAAATCCCAGAGCCTACCACATTAGGGATACTAGAGAACCCCAATAAAATTGAGACCCCAAAGGATTACAGGCATACCCTGGAGATATTGCAGGTTTGGTTCCAGACCACCACAGTAAAGCGAATGTCGCAATAAAGTGATTCACACAAATTTTTTGGTTTCCCAGTGCATATAAAAGATAGGTTTACACTATACCATAGTCTATTAAGTGTGCAATAGCGTTATGTCTTAAAAAATAATGTACATACCTTAATTAGAAAATATTTGATTACTAAAAAATACTAACCATCATCTGAGCCTTCAGCGAGTCATAATCTTTTCCTGGTGGAGGGCCTTGTAAAAAACGCAGTATCTGTGAAGCACAATAAAGTGAAGTGCAATAAGACGAGGTGTGCCTGTATACCTCAGTACAATGGTGAACTAAAAATAACTCTGAAGAATGCAAGGAAAATTACCATTATTAAATAAGTAATGAGTGGAGGGTCCAAAGAAATTCCCACAGATAAAGTTATAATAAATATGAACTCATGGGGCCAGCCCAGTGGCACAAGCGGTTAAGTGTGCACACTCCGCTGCGGCAGCCCGGGGTTCACTGGGTCGGATCCCGGGCACGCGCTGACGCACCGCTTGGCAAGCCATACTGTGGCGGCATCTCATAGAAAGTGGAGAAAGATGGGCGTGGATGTTAGTCCAGGGCCAGTCTTCCTCAGCAAAAAAAGGAGGATTGGCAGATGTTAGCTCAGGGCCGATCTTCCTCACAAAAAAAAAAAAGAAAAGAAAAAAAATATGAACTCATAGTCAAAAGTGAAAAAAATTAAAAATAAAAAACAGGAACCGTAGCATTCTGAGCAAGAGCAAACCAAAAAAGAAAACAGCAGTATTAACCCACAATGTCCTCTCATATTGGAATTTTTAGATTGAGAATTTTCTAAACTATGTCCTTATGTTTAAGAAAGTAAAAGAAGGGCTTGGAAATAGAATAGAGAGCAAAGGACTATAAAAAGTGACCAAGCATATTGTAAAAAGAACAGAATAGAACTTGTAGAAATGTAAACTATAGCAAGTGAAATTTGAAAATCAGATGAGAGAATTCATGAACTGAAAGATAATAGTGAAGAAATTAATGAGAATTTAGCACAGAAAGAAAAAGATGTGGAAAATATGAAGGATAGAGTTATATATTATCTAATATATGTTTAATCAAGGTTCCAGAAAAGAGAAAATAGGACAAAGAATTATCTGAAAAAATAATAAATGAAAAACTTCCAGAAATAATGAAATATACCAATCCACAGAATCAAGAAACCCACTGAATCCCAAATAGAATAAATGAGAAGAAATCTACACCAAGACATATTATAGAGAAACTACAGACTACAAAAGACAAAGAGAAGATCTTTGAAGCAGGAGAGAAGAGATGGATTATCTTAAAAGGAGCAACAATTAATAATAGATAACTTCTTAATATTAGCAACAATGCAGGCCAGTGAAATGCTGTCTTCCACATGCTAAGACAACTTAAAAATTCTATGCTCAGCAAAAATATCTTTCCATAATGAGAACAAAATAAGGATATTTTCACATAAACTAAAACTGAGAGTTTACCATAAGTAGACCTTCATTAAGGGAAATTTGAAAATGTGTGCTCCTGGCAAAATTAAATGATCCTAGAATAAAGACCAATAAACAAGAAGTGAAGGTATTATCCACACCAAAAATCTATGTGTGATCTTTCAGGCCCAACTATAGGCAATTACGAAGGCTTTGCCTGGCAGGCCTGGGGGAAGGCTACCCAACACAGGCTTGGTGCACAGCCAGTGTATTATAGTCTTCTGAAGGGAGTTGCAATCAAAGACTCAGGACATCTGGCCAACCATGATCATACACGTATCTGTATTCCTAGCCCAGACACCTCCATTCGGAGGCCTCCTTATTGAGGGTCTCGACTAAGACACTTTTGTCCACACTGACTCAGTCCTTTTCCACTTCTGGCCCTTTCCCCTCTCCCTCTCCCTAGCCTTCCCCGACTCCCCATAAAATGTCAGGGCTCTGAACAATGTTTTGTTCAGAGCTCTTCCGCAGTGAGATGATTCCCCTCCATCTAGCTGATTGACCTGACCCTTGCCCAGGGCTGTTCATGGGAGATCTGGTGCCTATTTTTGCCTCTTGCTTATACTATCTCCATAAATAAGTAATAAAGGCTTGATTGTTCATTTCAGTTTGGCTCATTGTCTTAATTGATTACCTCAGTCTAACAGCTCAACAGAAATTAAGAGCAAAGAAAGTGGTAATTATTTTAAACAAACATGGACTAAATAAAACAATAATAATGTGGTATTTGAAAAGAAAGGAGATACTTGGCTAGAGTAGCATATAAATAAAATAGGAAATTACAAGAATTAGTGTTCTAAGGTCCTTATATTACTCTAGAAGATAATAAATGTACTGTCTCACTTTAGGCTTTGCTAAGTTAAGTATGAATATTAAATTTGGGGAGATAGCCACAAAAAATAGAGGTAGAGGTTATAACAACAAAACAATCCCCTCCCAAAAAAATGGAATGAGAAAAAAACGGCTCAACAAATTTGATACCATATTCAGTAACCACAATAGCACTAATCAACTAAAAAATATATCTCATTAGTTTGGAAAATAAGAAATGACTTAATGAAATGTAGAAATGACCATTAAGTAACCCATGAGTCACAGAAGGAATCATAATTGAAATTAAAACAGTTCTCTAACTGAATAATAGCACACACACAAAAAAACCAACTCCATATCAAAACTTGTAGAATGCAGGTAAGCAGTTTCTTAGAGGCAAATTTAAAGTTGGAAATGCTAAAAATAAAAAGGCAAAAAAATTAATGAACTCAACTTAAGAAGAAAAAAGAGTAGCAGGATAAAACCAAAAAAATAATTAGGAAATAAATGATAAATATGAGTAGAAATCAGTGAAACAAACAACAAGCATTCAATAGGATCAACAAAGCCAAAAGTTGGTTCTTTGAAAATACTGCTAAAAATACTTAAGCGAAGATTTACACCAATAATTTGGAACCTTGAATAAATGGACCAATTTCTTAAAAAATGTAAATTAAGTTAGCTGATGAATAAACTTAATGTCTTAATAACTCTAGAAACATTAAATAAGTTGAGTCACTAGTTTAAAATACCACCCCTCCCCAATTCTTTGGGCCAGACAGTTTTATAAGCAAGTTCTACCAAACTTTGAATAAAAAAATAATTTCAGTTTTACAAAATTATTTCAGAGTATAGAAGAGGGACTAATTCTCAATTCATCTTGATTCTAAAATTTGATTAAAGACAGTATGGAAAAATCACAAGCCAATTTCACTCAAGATTATAGATGAAAAAAATTTAAATAAAATATTAACAAACTGTATCACTGAATAAAAAGAGAACACATGATGACAAAGTTGGGTTTATGCCAAATATGCAAGATTCCTTTGTCATTAGAATATCTATTAATGTAATTCACCACATTAACAAATTAAAGGGGAAAAATTATCCAGTTATCTCTAGATGCAGAAAAAGTCATATAAAATCCAAAATCCATTTGTGATAAAAATTAAAGACATCCTTAACCTGATTTAAAAAAAATCAACAAAAAAGGTAAAGAAATATCATAATAACATAAAATACTAAAAATGTTTCCTTTAAGATAAGGAATAAGATAAGGGTGTTCACTGGAACTACTT